CGATAGTGGTCGCGGCTCACTCAGAGATGTCGTATAATCTATCTCTTGTCGTGCTTTCTTTCTTGCCTTCTTATAAAACAACTGAAATGGTTTTTAACGCACTATTTAGTGGTATTCCCACAGAATAGCAAAATAGTAAGCACGATAAGGGACTGAACCCACGATGTTTTGACCGTGAGTCCCGCCACTACCGCGGCGCTGTTTTGTTTCATAGCTCTGTTTAGAGAATGTCTTTAAATATCGATGCAAGCCCATACATCGATTGTGAGCATAAAAATATGCGAAATAAGTTAAGTAAATAAGTAAATAGAGATAAGTTGACACCAGGGAATCGTATTGGTTTATAGCCTTCTTGTGGTGAAAACTAGTGAAATGATCATGATACTTTTGGGGTGCATTTATTAGGTTGAGTCATAAGTGATTGCCGATTTCTTCAGACCCACGCCATTTTTCCCAGAAAATGTTTGTGTTGTTCCCCGCAGAGCAGTATGTGGCGACCTAGTGTCCTTTCATATTACGAAATTTGACCGTCAGTACTCGTCTTTTGGGAGAAATAATGCCGTCCTCTTCAACACATGTTCGTCACTGTCTATTTTACGAGTTCCGCCTGGGGCACTCAGCAAGAGGAGCCTGTCGGAATATTTGTGTATCTGGAGAGACCAGACTGGCTTAATGAGAATATCTATTGAGGTGGTTCGGGAAAATTCGCCAGGGCGACTTTCACGCACTTCTATGCTATGGGTATCAGGTTAGGCTTGTATATATTTCGTTTCCTTCGAAGCTAATAAATAGCTGGCAGCTGGCACATGGTAAGAACATTGCGCCACGTTAAAGGCATTCATGTAAGCCTGACTATAAAAACTTTCCGATTTTGGCCATCCTGTTAAGCGCAAGTATGCCCTCTTCATAATTCTCTTGTGAATGAATGTAAGAGATGAAGTTTATTCAACTAAATAGACTGCTGTAGACGCTATGCCCTGAGGCGCTTTTTGCTTTCCATATGAATGATCTGAGCAGCGAAACCGGTGGAGAGCTGACACTCTGCGGGTTAGATTCCAGCCATTATCAGGTAACTCCGCTCGAGACATAAAGTCAAGTAGTGATAACGATCAGTCTTGAAGGAACCACTCGTCTGGATACCTCTAGCTCTCCCGGGCACATGGAAAATCGCTTTAGATTCTGTCACCATACAGAATGTTGTGATCGAAGGACCACTCATCGCCATCGTTGATACTGGTACCTCGATGATTGCTGGACCAACATATGCTGTTCAAAAGGTAAGTTTTTGAAAAAGAAAGAAGGAAAGGAAGAAAGAAAAAAGAAAAGAAAGTAAGAAAGAAGGCATACTTTTTGTTCACTCCTATAGTATATTTAAAGATCCAACAAGCAATAGGAGCTAGTCCAGATGCGAATGGCGACATGGTGGTTGATTGCTCGACTATTCCTCAGCTTCCGATAATCACATTCATTATTGGGGATATGGAGCTGAGGCTTGGTGGTTCTGCTTATATTGTTAAGGTATTCATTTCATGTTTCTTCTGACCAACTTCAGTAACGTACATTACGTAAAATTTATTCAGGTGAGCCCAACTTTATGCTGGTCCGGCTTCCAGTCAATGGATTTACCAACTTATAATGGTATCCTTACTCCTACTGTGTCACTTCTGCTTGTGAGCGCTCCATAAAACGATTTTAGGATATCTTTGGATTCTCGGAGACGCTTTCATTCGTAACTTCTACACAGTCTTCGACCATGGAAATAGACGTATTGGATTCGCTGTATCTGTCTGATGATTTTCAGCCGAATTTTTTTTCTATGAAATCTGATGCAGAATATACGATATTTCAAAGCAAGTGTAATGATTACCACATTCACAGCAATAATTTGTGATTCCTCACTTTTGAGGCAGAATTCACGATGAAAAGTTAGCTCATTGGAAATAAGGGTAGAGGTGGTCAGTGGAGCAGGGATGAAGAAGAAACCATGGAAACGGCCCGAAACCCGAGAAATGGGACCCCTTCCTTGCCCGTTGATTTCGCATTGATGCGACTCTCACCGTTGTGCCCTCTTCAACGCTTCCGTTGTCTGATCCTCTACCAAACGGCTAGAGGATCAAGCAGCGTGGAGCTATGGTGTCTTTGCTTTTTCACCCCCACCAATGTTCCTTATATCGGTTATCGCCAAATTTTCAGACAAAATAGCACATCAACTCGATTCCGACCCCTGCCTTTGGGCCCGTGATTCTTATACTTGCGATGGTCTCTTTGCTTTCTTTTCAATTTCAATCCATCCCTCATCCACAACTTCACTATTGAGCGCTGTTACACAACAACTTAATCCTAGGGTATGCGTTTCATAACTCACACAATGTTCCCCTACTGCAAACTCACCTCTGATATATTAGGTTGTCGGAAAAGTTCTTGCGCATTTTCTTGTTCACCTTGCAAAATCTTTTGGATCGTTTTGAAACATTCACTGTTAAACGCATGTGAGCGGTGGTTAATGCTCTCTCCACAGCATTTCTGTCGTAGCATTTCGCAGCGTTTGAAGCTTAAAAATCGTCTTTCACTGAAGGTATGTTCGACTGCTCCTGCCTTTATAAGCCCACAAAATGCGTCGATTGAAGCGAAGCAGTAGGAGTTCTACGTGTTGTGATGGACCTCCAGAACTATCTTTCACAATATGCCAATTATTTGGTTGCCGAGTTCCAGATACTTGAGAAAAAAACCACAAATCTGGTCAGGCCTGCCATCCTCATTGACGAGTGTATTCTGAATTCGATTGGAGAGAGTGCTTAGTGCAATGCACGGTAATTGGCGGAGCTCTTCAGTGCTACCAGACCACAATGTCCGCTCCTCAATCTTCTTCTCTTCTTAGCGTTGTTGTCCAACTTTCGTCGGGTACGCTCTTTTCACCAAGCAGGGTCAACCCTACGTTGCGCAAAGAACAACGAGGGGGTCGCATTTGGCCGAACGAAAGGGGGGGTCGCATACAGAGGGACCAGGGGGTGAAAGGCTGGGAGGAATGGTCCCAAAAGACATGAAGTTACCATAAACTCAATAGTAATCATATTTCAGGCTTGGCTGTTTCGTACCGATCTCCCTGCATGAATTACTACATCGTGAAAAAATCTTTCTGTCTTCAGCACACTTCTATTTAGACCTAGCTTAATTATGAAAAAAGGTGGTATAGGTGCCAAACTTAGCAAGTCACCAATTTCCAGCGTATCGATTGAAATTCAACTGTGTAGAGCAGTTCATGGGAAAGTAAAACAACCATCAAACCATAAAACACACAATGGTACCGCAAAACATACAATGCAATTCGATCATGTACTATCACCTTCTTCGGGAAAGTGGAGGACCTTCAAATGCGAGTGCGACTTCCACCCACAGACAGGTGCACGGCGTATACCCGAGCAGGCGTTTTCCCATAAAAACGCCTTCTCTGTGAGCGGCCGTAAGCAGACAAACTTCCTCAAGAAAATTTTGATGCTTTTAAATCAAATCTAAGCGGAACAAATGTAGCGAACTTGCTGACCCATGAAATTAAAGCGAAGTTAAAGAATTCACGAAAGGTTATTTAATAATAACGTCACTCTTGCAAGATTGATTCTACACGGTCGTTTACCGCTTCTCATTTTATGAAGTTTGAAGGAAGTTATGGGTTCTTGAATATTGCAATGTCGCGGTTCAGAAGAAAGGCTTGTGAAAACAAGTCTATGAAAATAAGAACGGAACGACGGGACTATTTTTTGAACGAGTGATTTTTCAAAAAAGCTTTAGCGCTCTATTGAAAGCTGCTGAATCTTTCGTTTTAATTTCTTAGTGGTTCGCAAAAAGTGATAAATGACGATATGAAGTTAAAAGTTTGAAGGGTTCGAAAAACTCGCGTTGCCAAAACGCAGACGACCGGGACGATGTTTTCTAAGATATTGAGCATTTCAATGCTTTTTCGAAAAGAGACTACATTGAATTTTTTGAAATTTGGCCCGGAGTGTCCGGTTACCATGAAGAGCGCTTCGACAACATGGACGTGGGAAGTTACTACTGCGTATCAGTTTTCCGAGCTTTACAAAAGGGCGAGAAGGAAAAAGGAGAAATGAAACCAAGCCTTCACTTCGGCCTGATTCGAATTCAACTACCAATGTCAAGTTTATGAAACAATGATCTCGTTCGTTCGAAAATGCGGAAAGTTTCCTTCATGAAATGGAGGGGTCGCAAAAAATTTGGAATTTGCACAACGCAGGGTTGCCCCTGTCACCAAGGCTTTCCAGCGATCGATTCCATGCATCGTCTGCAGACAGGTCAGCAGCATTCATGTCGATCTTCACGTTGTCCATCCATCGTAATTTGGGTCTGCCTCTCGGGCGTGTACCTGTGAAGTTAATTTTATCGGCTGATCTGGACACGGTGTCTGGAGGCCTCGAAATGTGCCATACCAGAGTAGGCGCAAGAGGAGCAAGGGGGAATTGACGATCGTTATTTACCTTGATCTTCGTACTGCGAATGTCTGGCGTTCGGATGTTCGGTCGATCGCGTGCTCCTGTCGCCTTGACTCCATAAGTAAATTCTCATCTCCGTAAGACTCATTATGCTCTCGTTTTTCGTCCGGCCGTCGATCATGCTTCGTTGTACCGCACTCATTAGATGGGCGGACTGGTCTCACGATGAGGTGTAGTTTGTCCACTTCAAGAGCGGAATTCGCTTTGGGGCTGTCACAGAGAACGCCAGTGACAGTCCCCCATTTGTTCCATGCAGCGTTTATTCTAGCAATTGTATCGGCTTTACTATCGGCGTCCGCGGCCAGTGTGGACCCTAGATACGGAAACTTGGTGGTCTTGGGTAGGGATGCTCCGTCTACTGTGATCGAAGACTCTGTGGCCGTTGTGCACATGTATTCTGTTTTGTTGATGTTGAGCCTGAGTCCATGGTCCTTTAGCTGTTTCATCCACTGTCAATGTCAGTGTCCCGCTGTCAAATGCAATGTCCGCTCCTCAATATCGCCCTCAAAAGAAGTGAAATTATGGCGAAAGGATATTTGTTTATCTGAACGACCACAGGCTATTAAGACCATAAAATTTCGCAAGGACATTTTGATTTGCTGCCCGTCTCGCTTGATCCGCCAACTTTGTGGTGGTGTCAAGAAGTGGGATCCAACCACGCGAAAGCACGACTGGCTCGGATGCGTAGAACAAAGGATTGCTACGCCGATTAGAGAACAGTAACCTGGGAGGCAACATTGAAAGCTCATGAGGCTGCAAATGTTTCGCTCACGGAGAGCTGCTGCCAACGAAGTCCACTGCTATTGGTGAACAATAATGTGGATTGGTTTCCCGGCATGGTGCCCGGAAAATCGAGAAACTTTACTTTATGTCGGCAACGCTCGCCCACGAATTACGAAGAAGCTTCAGGAAAGGTCTCCAAGCTCGTTATAGGATAATCTGATCGGAGTCAACCACTTTGAGCTTTCTGCCCAAAGACTCAGGATTTCTGAACGGCCGGCAACCTGAAGTTGCCTGCTGAAGAGCAATGTTTCGACGATTATGGTGGTGTATGTATTCAACAATTGTTGGCTGCACTAAAGAAGAAAAACAATTTTGAAAAAAAAGTTGCCAAATGCGCAAAGACTTTTCCGACAACTTAATATTATACATTAGAACATCAGTGAAAGTAACTGGGAGAACGAGCTATGGACCATACGTTCAGTATGCAGAGCTTCAGAATGAAAGAAAAGATTCAATTAATTTACAATCTACTGGGTGAAGTTGAGTAAGTTGCGCCTCCAACAGCAAATGTTGGGCACATTCTTCCTACAGACTGTCTACTTCCATAACTACTAGCATTTCGTACGCTGTGAGCTTAGCAGTTTGATAGTGCTCAGCTAGATCTTTCTTGTCTCATGACTTATCTCATGGCAGAGCGAAGATGGCCAGCGACGCCACCACAGAGACGTCTGGCAAAAGCGAACGAGACTGTGACACCTTAGCTTTCAAGGGCGAAACCACCAAGAGCTTGTGCTTACGATCCTATCACTCTCTTTCTTGCTTTGTTTTATCTGCCCTATCTTTTTGCAGTTATTATTCGTGCCCTACTATGCGACGTATTTGATGTATAATTTGACCATCAATACTGTGCTCCATATTGATGCTCTGAGGATAGAACTTATTAAATGATTTCTGCAGACAGGAGATGATTGAGCAGATTTCACTTTCGCACTCACCTGAAGTGAGGAAATGCGATCAAGCGTGTGCAGCACAGGAATACATGCACCAGCAGAAGCAGTATTCAGGGGCTGAAGAGAATAAGATTTGGCATTTTCTGTGCGCATGCGCGCTAGCTCACTGCCAGGGTCGGTCCTATCGTTGTTACTTTTTGAAAAATTTTTACGACCCCCCTCCCCCAAGGTGGATTTGATACGACCCCCTTTTCCACACCTCGACCACCATCATCTATTTAATTCTGGTACCACTCAACCCACCAAACTCCGCCCACTTTTTCCTCCAAAAATGCCGTCGAGCGGGGGGGGGGGGGGGGGGGGGTATATACGCACGCTGAAACGGCGAATTTTTCTCCCATGCGCTCCCAACTCACCCAGCCTACTACTCGTGAAAACTCCACTTTCACCACAAACTCACATGTAATTTCACGCGACTGAAGCGGATACGACCCCCCTCCTATAAACTCAACCAGGTACGACCCCCCGTTGTTACTAGTAACAACGTAGGGTTGACCCTGCTCACTGCCCTGGGGCTGTCAATCCTTTCTGAGCTCCACCTATTAGTGTGTGC